ATTTTATATTATATGGGTAGATTATTTATGATTAAATAAGCAATATATTAATATTTAAAGTTTAAGAAAAATTTAACATAATTTCAGTATGTGTTTAGTTTCAGCATTTCGATATCAGTTTTAGATTTGAAATTTTAGCAAATAGAAGATGATTCTGAAATTAAGTTTTGACTATTATTAAATCTAAATATATTTCAGTTTTAGTATTAGTTTAGAGGAATTATATAAGCTTTATTATTATATAGCTAAGAAGAAAAATTATGAAAGGTCAGATGAAAAAATAGAATAGATGTTTCAATTTTCAGTAAAATCTCTTTATAATTTATTTTTTACTTTAATTTTATCTAATGAATATAGTAAAAAATATAATTAAAATAAAGAAATTACTACGTATTACCAGTAATGTTCAATACTAATATTACATAATTTTTATTTAAATAATTTATCACCCTATGTCATATCTTCTATATTTTATTTTTACTATATATTTTGAAAACAGAGAATTTTTTTGAGTGTAAATCATATTTATTATATGTTATTTATCACATCCTTAATTTAGACCAAAATTTATAATGCTAGCTAAAATGTCTTTTTAGGATGTTAGATAATGTTATATAAATCTAAAAAGGCAATTTTAATTTTGACAAAAATCGAAATGAGATTACACAAACATTCAAAAAGAAAAATTGTATTACTTGTGATGATTACCAGTGGTAATAAATAGTAAACTCTTAAAATAAAATGCTGTATATTATTTAAGGAAATCAATATAGGACTTTTGCAATAGAAAAGGAGAAAACTGAAAAAAATAAAAAATAAATTAAAGTTATATAACTTCAATTTTTCAGTTTATGTTACTTAACTGGATCACTTTTTCAATTTTAAATAAAAAAATGTTTATATATAAAAAGTTTATCATATAACTTATAAAGTATAATTTTATTAGTAGATTAAACTTTATTATATTATTGTTATGTATAATTCTTTTTTTACAATTCATTAGTTTCATGCAGCTTTCCAAACAATATATTGTACTAAAATTTTTTTCTCCAATAATATTTTTGATGAGCTAAATTCAAAATTTGCTTATTATTAGTTAGGTGATAAATATAAAATTGATATATTTTCAAAAAAAAATCTTTATTTTTGCTTTTTTCTCATTAAATAAACCTTTCAATCCTTTAAAACTTTAGAATTATAACTTATTTTTATATATATAATAGGCATTTTGATGGAGTTGAGAAAATTTTAAAATAAAATGTGGTTGTTATATTATTAGGCTAGGCAAAGAAATTTTTAAATAAAAGTTTCTTTTTCATATGTAAATTTTTTTATATGTATTGCTTTCTTTTGAACAAAATCTGATGTGTTAATTTTATTATATAAGTTACATGAAAAAATTTTACTATAAAAAAAAATTCTGAATTTTCGTCTGACAAGACTGGATCATAAAATCTGAAAATTTACTTTTATATAGTTTTGTCTCTTAAAGATACCAATCAGATGGCATAATATCTATATATAAACTTTTTTATTAATAAAAAATAATCATTAATAAACTTTGGGTCTCCAGATCGATTTTTAAATTATGAATCAAAAAATTGAAATTGCATGGCCTAATGCTAAATCTGAAATTTTAACCTAAAAGTCATATTTGGCATATAAAAGTAAAATTGATTTTCCCTCCTTTCTATTGCAAAGGTTTCATATATAGTGTATACCTCAATCTTTTAGATATGATTGCTGTAATCATCCAAATGCTTTTATTAGATGAACTTGATAAGATCACTGGATAAATAGCACTTGATACAAGAAAAGGTAAAGTTAGATGATCTTGTGACAAAACAAATTGGAATTTAGGAATAATGGCAAATGCTTAGGATGGAAATGTAGTAACTTTATCATATATTAGGGCAAAGTCTTGATCTTTGTATTTATTTATTAATAAAAAATTTTATTGAAATAATCATTTGATGTATCTATAAGCAGTGATACATTTTGATGTCCCAGAGATTTGTTGTTCCAGCTATATGTTCCAACCTGTTCCACACTATGTCCCAAATGTCCTATCTGTCCCATCTATGTCCCATCAGTGTCCCATCAATATCTCATGACAACACTGTTTACAAGTAAGTCAACAATATTTGAACCTAATACTGTCGTCCATTTTCACTTTTTCTCTGGTTTCTTAACACTCAACTTTCTCATTATTCCGCAAAAAGTTTACAACAATAAATTACGTAATATTCACGATATCATGGTATTAGTTGTTTACATTTTGTGTTATATAAATTAAAAATATATATGTCGATTTATATAAATCGAAGTGTGTAAATTTGGTTGCAATGGAAAATCTGGTAAGAGGTTCGACTTATACACAAGTTCCTTGACAAGTTCACAACCCGATGCTATGCATCAAGAACTCTATAAGGGAGATTATAGATTCGATAAAGATGGCAAGCATCTAAAAAGCTATAATGCTGACAATAGAAGTGCAAAGGGAGTCTCTTGTTTTGTGTCTTTAGAATTTCCTCACAACGTCCCTAATGAAAGTAAAAAAGAAATCCCCTGTTATTTTCTTCCTGAAGGAATATCCCTTTCGGAAAGTCTAGCTTTGTTTTATACCCATAATATAAAACTCCAGTTTCCATCTGGTGAACAAACAGCGTTGCATTTCGTTATTGCACCAACGATGCATATGACAAGAGAAAATTACGAACAGGCAATAAGAAGTTTAAACTAGCAGATTTGTTCTGTTAAAGCCTCTGTAGAGGTAGTTGAGCTAGTCTCTCATGATGACGATTTAGATGGTGTAGAAGACTTCCAAATGATTGAGGTGTATTGGCTCATGGAAATCTGGCACGAGCAGACAACGTGTACCATGAACCGCCTTCACGCAAATGATATTTACACATGGATCGCTTTGGACAAACCATCTTTTCAAGATCTTATTATGCACGAGCCTCGTGCTTACATAGTGTTTTCTACCCTCGCTTGTATGAACGCTAGAATTCCTACATCGCATGTAACAGAATTGATGTATTTGGGTGACATTTTGGGGGAACTCAAAGACTCTTTTGGATGGAAAGCAGAGACTTGTATGCAGTAAGTACGTAATAGTTATTTACCGTGAAATCAGAGACATCATCAGGGATTCACGGCTCCGCCTTGATCCCTGTGAGGAGTGGTAAATAACTAATATATTTCATGGTTTACTAAAGCCCGTGATAAAAAATAGAATAAACTTTTTTAGTAATCATTTCTTTCCTTCACTCTAAAAAATTTACACAATTTAATATTGCTCTAAGCTTCTAAATAATCCACATTTAACATCTAAAACATCTAAAATAAAACAATTTTATTTTATCAAAAAACAAAATAAGAAAAAGCAACGAAAGAAAGGCTTAATAACTTTGTAAAATACATGATATTATGAACATACATAATAATGTTGCAGTACGGTACGAAAGAAATTAATAGATTAATGCAATCAATTCAAAATTATAATATGCATTTATTACAAATTCCTCAAAATACCATAATATTTACGTCCTAATAATAACAATAACTGAACTGATATTTATGTTTTCAAGATGTTTTAACTAGGCTTTTTTTTTTTAACCATGAATAGTTAAAACTTTTAATTAATATTTTTATATTAATCGTTAAAAATTTATTATATTATATACTAAAAATATCATTTTGAAAATACAGTAAATTCATTGATATAAAATTTCCAGATGATTTTCAAAAATATTGATATTTTCCCGGAAAATTCAACTCTGATATTAAATCAAGTAAAATATCGATGTACATTCATTAATTATAACAAATTTTGTCATTGGTTTTCGTTCATAAATTTAGCAAACGGGTGCATTCCTAAGGAGCAAACAGGTGGAGCAAACAAAGTGGATGCGAAGATATTCCTAAGGACGTTGAAAAGTGGGATCTACAAGTTATTAAGTTTTTAGGATCCGAACTGAACCTTGATGTAAAATACATCAAGAGAAATCAAAGGACAAGAGATAAATGATTCGGGCCTCCTTTTATTAGAAGAAGAAAATACTTATTCGTAAACCGGGACCATTTGAATTTCCGTTTGGGGTTGCAATTGTTATTATGGAATTTGTTAATGCATTTAGAACAAGAGAAGATAAAAAAACGCAAACATAGTATGGAACCGATAAATTTTTACTATATTATATTTTAGGCTGTGATATCATTGGAGAACATATGAATCTTCACTTAAAATTTTGTTTGCAGATTAAATTTCAGGACATTTGTAGAACCACAATATCATGTTTCTTTAGTTTACCTTTTAAATTTACCTGTAATTTTTTTACTTGATATTAAAGTCAATTTATGCATTTTAAAAATTATTTATCAAAAACAAAACATAATATTTTATATAAATTTTATAATGATTTCAACATTAGTTAGTAACTTTTTATAAAAATTATCTATATATCACTATCATTAATTTTTTATATATTTAAATATAAATTTTTATAAAAAAAAAAAAATAAAGAAAAAAATTTGTATAAATAAAAATATAACACGTGAAAATTTAAATTTATAGTATAAATATGAAAATATGTAAAAATTGATCCATCTTTTTTTCTAACTTTACATGGGCTATTTAATTAAGTAAAATCCTAAAAACAGAGTACTAAAAATGTTATTTGTTACACGTAATTCGTAATAATAATATTTTTTTTTAAGTTTTATATCACATATATGGTTTAACAATGACAGTTACGTGATAGTAGCCGGTCTTTCGGTCTTTTTCGAAAAAAACAATGATTGGCAATTTTTGTGGCGCAACATGATTTGCCAAAGACCCGATGAATGGCCTTTGTCCCACTTTTTTCAAAAACCAACTGTCCCAAATTAGCTAAAGGCCAGGTTTTTATTCATAAATTCTATTTTAGACCTGAATTGGCTGATTCCAATTGTTGCCACTTTTCAATTCAGCTACGCCGCAAGCGTGGGGCGCAGCCTTGTTACTTTTCCAAAGAAAAATTCCCAAGACCGCAGGACAAAGTGAACATCTTACGTGATAGTGAGAAAACGCGTCGCCTTGATAAAGTTTATTGCCAGTAACATGTATCTTTATAATTCACTCTCTCCACAAATCATTATTTCTGAGGACAGTGTAATGTCCTTATTTGTCACATAATTTTGTCACATATTAGGAGTAATTGGGTTAGGGTTTAAATTGTCGATCTATTTTAAATAGAATGTCATAATTTTATTTACTCATAATTTGAGTTCCAATTCAATTTCGTTCAAGAATCTAACCGGTTACCCCGCCTTTTTGATAATCAAAAAAAAAAAAGATTTATTAAAAATATAAATAAAAACTCTTTTTCGTACATAGTTTGGTTTTTTTTCCTCGTGTAATAGATGCTTATTATTATTGTTATAATCTATATTTAAATATCTACCGCGGCACTACCCGTCAAAATTTTGGCTGATGGAGATTGATGTTAGAATGGCGTATTGGCGTTATCATGGAAACCTTGATTTCGATTTTTAATGTTATTTACTTGTTAACTACAGCATCATGCATAATCTGTAATTTATTTGAATTCATCTACTGATTCGTCAAATCTGAGATGTTATCTTATCTAAAAATTGTCATGAATTCCCCATCAAAAACCTGATAGAGTTATTTTAATAAAAGGAGCCCTTTCCAAGGTAAATACGTTCTCTTACGAATTTTTTTCCCACTTGTTCTATAAAGTGGTGAAGAATAATATATCTTTGCATCTAGAATATATTTTAATATAAAAATTCATTTTCTCTTACGAATTCAAATTTATAATCATGTATAATAGTTTTATCAGGTCACCGAGTCCCATACGACGAGTGAGTTCAATTGTATCTCGAGTTCAACAAACTTGTATACCTAAAAGTTCTCGCAGTTTTCATAAAGCCACTACCTCCACAACAAGACGATTATTTACACCTTCAATTACCAAAACATTTCAAAACAATTCATATAATGCTATCCCACCAACTTCTATAGGCGCATTTACTTCACCTTATTTACGGTCTTTTCGACCAACGACAACTCGAATATCTTATCATTTTTATAGTACAGTTACAGCCCAACGTAACAATAATGACGGTCGAGTAATCAAAGAGGTTAACGAAGTGATATTGAGCGACGTGCCTATAGTTGACGTTAAAAAAGTACTTGTTGTTGGATCTGGTGGTCTATCTATCGGCCAAGCTGGTGAATTCGATTATTCTGGTAATGTTATATGAAGTGGAGTTTAAAAATATGACGGAGTTTAAAAATTAGATCGTCCATGATCTAATTTGTTATACTTTTTATTGAATTTAGGTTCGCAAGCCATTAAAGCTTTACAAGAATCAGGAATCCGCACAGTTTTGGTTAATCCAAATATCGCGACCATCCAAACATCACATGCTTTAGCAGACACCGTCTACTTCCTTCCTGTTACGGTGGAATATCTCACTCACATTCTTGAACGTGAAAGGCCAGATGGAATTTTATTAACCTTTGGAGGTCAAACAGGGTTGAACGTTGGTATGAAATTGGATCAAATGGGTGTTCTTTCCCGATTGGGTATTAAGGTTTTAGGTACTCCAATTCGAACATTGGAAGTGAGTGAAGATAGAGATCTTTTTGCACAAGCTTTGAAAGGTAATTTATATAATTCTAAAGTGCATTAGATAATTCAAATTATTATTTTTTTTTTTTTTGATTAATAAAATCATTTTTTTTTTCATAACCAGAAATTGATATTCCCGTTGCTGAATCAACTGCGGTTTCCACACTCGACGATGCTCTTGCAGCTGCCGAACAAATCGGTTACCCTGTAATCATTCGATCAGCTTTCTCACTTGGAGGACTTGGTTCTGGTTTTGCAAATAATCCTGAAGAACTTCATAGTTTAGCCGCCAAATCCTTAGCATTGTCACCACAAATTCTTGTTGAGAAATCAATGAAAGGATGGAAAGAAGTAGAATATGAAGTCGTTCGTGATGCAGCAAATAACTGTATTACAGTATGTAATATGGAAAATTTTGATCCTCTTGGTGTTCATACCGGTGATTCCATTGTGGTCGCCCCAAGTCAAACTTTGAGTGATGAAGAATATCATATGCTTAGAACTGCGGCCATCAAAATCATCCGTCATTTGGGTGTCGTTGGTGAATGCAATGTTCAATACGCTTTAAATCCTTACAGTCTCGAATACAAAGTTATTGAAGTAAATGCTCGTCTCAGTCGTAGTTCGTGAGTATTATCCCTTGTTTTAAAAAAAGTATATACATATATATAAATATATACACTTCAATAATAATTTTATCCTTTATTTTATTTATCAGAGCTCTCGCTTCTAAAGCTACTGGATATCCTCTTGCTTTCATTGCTGCCAAAATTGCTCTAGGACACACCCTTCCAGAACTCCGTAATGCTGTGACTAAAACCACTACCGCTTGTTTTGAACCATCTTTGGATTATATTGTTACAAAGATTCCAAGGTGGGATTTAAGCAAGTTCCAACATGTTAATCGTGAAATTGGCAGTTCCATGAAGAGTGTCGGTGAAGTCATGGCTGTCGGTAGAACGTTTGAAGAAAGTTTACAAAAGGTAAAATAAATAAACTTTATAATTTTACAATTTATTTGATTCAGGCATAAATTCTAATTAAATAAACCAATCATTTCAGGCCATTCGACAAGTTGATCCTTCATTTAGTGGTTTCCAATCTTTACCGTTCCCTGAACTTGACAAGTCTCTTTCCGTTCCAACTGATCGCCGTCTATTCGCCATTGGTCATGCTATGCTCGAAAAGAATTATACTATCGATCAAATCCATAACCTTACAAAGGTTGATAAATGGTTCCTTTACAAATTGGGTAACATCGTAAATGTCCAACATGACATCAAACATGCTGAAAAACTTGAAAATGTCTCCAAGGAGTTATTACAAGAAGCTAAAAGGAAAGGTTTCTCAGATTCACAAATTGCTGCATTGTTGACAGACGCCACTGAGGACCAAGTGCGCAAAGTTCGAAAAGGTCATGGAATCACACCATTTGTCAAGAGAATTGATACTGTTGCTGCCGAATTCCCTGCTCAAACAAATTATTTATATACCACATATAATGCATCAACGCATGATTTAGATTTCAATGATAATGGAACCATGGTTTTGGGTTCGGGTGTTTATCGTATCGGATCCTCTGTCGAATTTGACTGGTGCGGTGTATCAGCTATTCGTGGTCTTCGAAAGATGGGTTTAAAGACCGTCATGGTTAATTACAATCCAGAGACAGTTTCTACAGATTTTGATGAGTGTGACAGATTATATTTTGAGGAACTTTCATATGAACGTGTTATGGATATTTATGAACAAGAGGCTGCTAAAGGAGTTATTGTTTCCGTGGGTGGACAATTACCACAGAATATCGCACTCAGATTACATCAAAATGATGTTAAGATTTTGGGAACAAGTCCTGTTAGTATTGATAAAGCTGAAGATCGATTTAAATTCTCTCAAATATTGGATCAAATTGGAGTGGATCAACCTGAATGGAAAGAACTTTCAAGTGCTGAGGAAGCTGAGAAATTCGCTGATAAAGTTGGCTATCCAGTTCTCGTTCGTCCATCATACGTACTTTCTGGGGCTGCTATGAACGTGTGTTATACAAAGGAATTTTTACATAAGAATCTTTCCGAGGCAACATCTGTTTCGCCATTGCACCCGGTAGTCATAACTAAATTCATCTCACCTGCTGCAGAAATTGATATTGATGCTGTTGCTCACAAGGGCAAGCTTTTGGTTCACGCCGTATCTGAACACGTTGAAAATGCTGGTGTTCATTCTGGAGATGCTACTTTGGTATTACCACCCCGTGATATTAATGATTCCACCATGGCTAGATTGAAGGAAATTGCCGAAAAGGTCGCCAAAGCTTTCGAAATAACAGGACCTTTTAATATGCAAATTATCAAAAAAGACAATCCCAATGGGGAATCAGAATTGAAAGTTATTGAATGCAACCTCCGTGCTTCTCGATCATTCCCATTCGTGTCAAAAGTACTTGGTAGAGATTTCATTGATACAGCAACCAAAGCTTTGTGCGATAAGGATGTTCCAGAACCAGTTGATTTAATGGCTGATAAGAAAGATTATCAAGCAGTTAAGGTACCACAATTCTCATGGACACGTCTTCAAGGTGCTGATCCATTCCTTGGAGTTGAAATGGCATCAACAGGAGAAGTTGCATGCTTTGGTAAAGACAAATACGAAGCATATTGGTCAGCAATTCAATCCACACAAAATTTCCGAGTACCAAAACCTGGTAGTGGTATTTTGATTGGAAAAGATGACCGAACTGATTCGGAAGATTTCCTTGCAGTAGCACGCACACTTTCCAAAGATTTAAGACATCCACTTTATACAAGTTCACCAAAAGTTACAGAATTTTTGGCACAAAATAACGTTGAAGCCACAACATTACACTTACCAGAACAGAATAAGAGAGCACTTCAACAAGTATTCCAAAACAATAAAATCGATTTTGTATTCAACCTTGCACAATTGAGAGCTTCAGTAGTAACAGATGAAAATTATATTGCAAGAAGATCTGCAGTAGACTTTGGCATACCGTTAGTTAATGATAGTAAATGTGCAAGATTATTCGTAGAAGCTATTAAAAGAAAGAGGCAAGAATTGGGAAGTTTAAATGGTGATATTCCTGCTGAAGTTAAAAGTTGGTCAGAATTTGTTGGAGGAAGATATTGTTAAAAGAAAAAAAAAAAAGGTCAAAAATTAGATTCATATTTATAATTAATTTATTGAGGACAATTTTCGTTAAAGGAAGAAAAAGATTTTTTCTTTCGTTAAAAGAACAAGATGCATTTTTTTTTCGGTACAGGAAGAAGAATTATTTTTTTTTGTTTAAGGAAAAGAAAAGAATTTTTTTTTTCTTTTTCTGCTAAAGGAAGTAAAGAAAGTGAAGATTTGTTTTTGCTAAGATTGATATTTTTTTTTTGTTAACGAAAGATACGTGTTTATATAGAATTGATTTATACTTATACTTTTTGCATGACGTGAATGTTTTTTTCAAATTTGTCATATTCACATACTTTTTGCATGAAACAATAAACTTTTACGTGAATTTTTTTTAATTTTTTTTTCAAATTTATGTTATAATCACATACTTTTTTATACTTTTTGCCTGAAACAATAAACTTTGATAATTTTTGAACGTGAATTTTTTTGCAAATTTGTCATACTTTTTGCATGAAACAATAAACTTTGAACGTGAATTTTCGTGAATTTTTTTTTTTTTTTTAAATTTATGTCATGTCATATTTTTGCATTAAAACAAAAGTATGTGAATATGACGACAAAAATTTAAAAAAAAAATACACGTTCAAAAAAAATATCGAAATTTATTTCATGCAAAAAGTACGTGTATATGAAATAAATTTGAAAAAAAAAATTCACGTTCAAAAGTATCAAAAAGTTTATTTGAACGTGAATTTATTTTTTTCAAAATATCAAAAAAAGATCATGAAAGTATATTATGTAATGCCGTGTCCAAACAAATTGTAATTTTGACGAAATGAAGTTTGGCGCAGTAATAATTTTATTCAGTTTCATACTTTTTCCTCAATTTGATTCTTCGAATACCAAATCAAATCCAAATGGAAAAAAAAAAAATTCAGCTAACCGTGTCTACGCTGATTCTCTCTTCATCTTTCTCGATTTTTATTCTGTGATTTAAAATATGACCGAGCTCGACGACGATTCAAGATGGGGGGGGGGGAGGCGTATCGCATCAACTGATTTACGTGCTTCAATTTAAAAAACGGGTGAATTTTAAATACATCTTTTTCTTAAGTAATTAAGAAATTAAAGACCAATAATTTTAAAAGAGTAAATTTTCAAATCAAATGTTTATTTAAATAAAACACTTTCGTAAGATTTATATATAAAAAAATTATTTTTTTTTCAAAAAGGTATAGGTATATTCTCTTCGTAACCATCTCGAGTCCTAGCCACTGAACAATATTTGCATTCATTGAATATCCATACGAATCGGTGATTTAGTAATACCAAGTAGTGAAGCTATTTTGGCAGCATCACCATGATATGAATGTGCTGCTTCAGCCGATCACAAGATGATGATGCTTCTGAAATATTGGCCATTTGGATTTTCGTTTTCTTCCGTTGAAGAAAATTTTCTCTATTATCAAACAATCTACTGGTAAATTAGGACATCCCATAACTCCTAATTGTACTTTACTATTTACGAGTAATGCTTTTTTTTTTATTTTATTTTATTTTAAAAGAATATAGATTATATATAGTAAAAGAATCACCAAAACATATACGAACTTCCTTGTGAACAAATTTTAAAAAGTGGTTTTTTGTTATTGCAGTAAAATAAGTAATGCGGTATTATCAATACCGTTTTTTCATCTAATGGATCATCTAATATGGAATTAGTTAAAGAGTGAATTTTCGCTCTTAAATTCTTTTCCTGATTCACCGCGTAAATCCTTAGTATCTTTTTCTCCGATAAATGGATCATTCGGAAAGAATGATATGAAATTGTATTCACTACAAACTTGTGCACTAAAAATCAGCAACTATGAATATAAATGAGTTCACCTATTAATTTCCTTTTCTATTAATTTATATATATATATATATATATTAAACTCGTACCCTTATTGGCTTGTAAAACTGCAACAGCACGTTCTGTCGTAAACTCTATTTTCGGGAAATCAAATAAAAAATTTAGAAAACTAACTCTTACTTTTCAAAAGGTTATCCTTGTTGTTTGTTAATAAAATTTAATAAATTTAATAAAATTTTTAATGTTAAAATCCAAGCTTTGAATTGCGAGTTCCTTCAATGAGCTCGGAGAAAACGATGGTTATTAATCATTTCTTGAATTTATCCGAGATTACCTTGCTGATTAGATTTACAAATTAAATAAATGAAACAATAGAAAAGAGGAATCATGTGAATAAAACTTTGATGGTGTCATTTTAAGTCACATCTAATTACAGTATTGACCTAAATATTACTAGATCAAAATATTACTAATCGAATTTTTTTTCGCTCAATTATTTTTAAAAAAGTAATGCTTCACATGATAACGTAGTTCGATCTACCGTAAATCTCATGCTTTTAAGAGGATGTTAGGATTAATAATCAAAAAATCAAAAATTGTTGTGTGACGAATTTTTTTTATATAAAACAAAAAAAACGGATCTTTTTTTTTTTTTTTCTTTTTTTTTAAAATTTTTTTATTTTTTTTTTTTATGGTTCAAAAATTTTGGATTTTCTAAATATTTTATTGTAACGTTAATTTTTTATTTTGTTTTTGTTTTTTTTTTTAAAAAAATTGTTTCCCTTTCCTGTTTGACGCCTTGAAGTATTTAGCCTCTAAAAATCATCATGGCAACAACATCGGAGGTGGTGACATCAAGAATCGCTTATTCTGCAAGCGATTTAATTTACGTTATAGAACCCAATTCTTCAAAATCATCTTCAAAATCTCAAAGTACATTAGAATTAACTCAATATCAAACTCAATCAAAGACAAATATTTTTAATAAAATACCAGAATTAGAAACTTTACATTCAATCTCTGATCCATTTTCCAAATTACATGTTCAACTATCAAAAGGTTCCTTGATAAGTGTAATCATACCCTCTAATTGTTCAAAGAATGTTTTAATTAATTCCATACCACATCTTTATAAAATTTCAAATAGTAATAAAAATAATCATGGGGGAGCTATAGTCATTCACGTTGTCTTGGATAAAAGTGATTTAAATCAATTGGGTGATTATACTGATGTTATGGCTTTAAGACAAACTGGTTTTGCTTTATTGCATTCCAATGGTCTTCAAGAATCTTCGGATATGGCTCTGGTAGCTCATTCGATCGCTTTAAAAACTGGAATTTCCGTCATACATTTCTTTGATAATGAATCAAAGAAAGGTGGAAAGGTTAAAGTGCTCGGAAATAATGATATTAAGAATTTCATTGTAGAATCAGATGTCAAAAAATTTCGTGATACCCTTCCTAATGACCTTTACTTTAGATCTTATAATGGTGTCTCATCTTTAGATGATTCTTCCGATGACCAACAGGATGTTTCGACTGCAAGTGTAGAAACCTCTGTTCCAACGACAACAAATGGAAAGCAACAAAATACCCTTGTCACGGCAGCAAATTTTTTCACGATAACGCAAGACATCTTTGAAACTTTCAAACAGTTGACAAATAGATCTTACAAGATTATGGAATTCTTTGGTGACAAAAGATCGGATTCAATTATTATCACGATGGGATCCGGAGCTGTGCAATTACAGAAAGTTTTTGAAAAACCTGAAACTTCGAAAATTGGTTTACTCAAAATAAGACTATATCGTCCCTGGTCCGATCAACATTTATTTGCCGAGATTCCAAAATCTGTAAAGAAAGTAGCCGTGTTGGAGCAAGTCGTCCCTCGTGCAACTAATTGGACCCCATTATATTTAGATGTTGTATCAGCTTTTCAAAACCGTAATTATTGGTCTGTTAAATTACCTCTTATCACTTGTGGACAGTATGGTGCTTTGGAAAAAGGACCAATTGACGCAGAAGTTTTCGCTCTTCTGAATTCAAATGTTCCTCGTCGTAACTTCATCCTTGGTAAAGGACCTTTAAAGTCAAAATCGGAAAATATTGGAGGGGTTAATGGTCAAGATGATCTTGAAAATTCTGCGTTGGAGAGGCCTTATATAAAGATGCTCAATGAAATCTTCTCCGAGAGGTTATACATTGCTAATTCTGCATCAAAAACTAACGCTGGACATTTAGAAGCTGTAAAATTCACACCGGAATTCGGATTTGGTGTTTTATTGGCAAAACTTCATAAACGCACTCAGTTGGTGGATCTAGTGTCACGTATCGTTAAGGACACCTCGATTCCTGAACTACTTCACGAACCACTATCAAAATGGCTCTTACATAAAGATGATGCTGAACTTTCAAAGAAATATGGTGATCAAATTGTAGAAATGCTCGGGTCGGAACCTCCAAAACAACCTGCCCTCGCTGAAATCTTTCAACTCCAACATTTATTTGTTAAACCATCTCAATGGTTGATTGGTTCGGATTCATGGGCTTATGATATTGGAAATTCTGGAGTACATCACGTAATTTCTTCTGGAAAAGATATCAACATGTTAATTATTGATTCACAGCCTTATTCAACGCGTACTGCGGCTGATCCAGAAAAGCGCAAAAAGGATATTGGTCTCTACGCGATGAATTATGGAAACGTGTTCGTAGCTTCTGTGGCTATGTATTCATCTTATACTCAAGTTCTACATGCTTTAATAGAAGCGGAAAGGTTCAAAGGTCCGTCGATCGTGTTGGCTTACCTTCCTTATCATTCCGAAAAGGATACAACGATTACCGTATTAAAAGAAACCAAATTAGCTGTTGACAATGGTTATTGGCCATTATATAGATGGAACCCTGAATTAGAAAAGGAAGGAAAGGAACCTTTCATCTTGGATTCTGAACGAATTAAACAAGAATTACAAAGTTTCTTGGATCGAGAAAATCATTTGACACAATTAATTCGTTCCCGTCCAAATTATTCTCCTTTATTAACAAACTCCCTTGAATCAGAAGTTAAATCAAGACAAAAATCTCTTGCACAATCAGCTTACGAGAAATTGTTAGGCGGTTTGACAGGCCCACCATTATTGATCTTATTTGGATCAGATAATGGTAATGCTGAAGGCTTGGCAAGAAGGTTACAAAAAGGAGCAATAGCTAGAGGGGTAAATGCACGATGTCTAGCGATGGATGATTTCCCAATTGAAGATATTACTCTAGAAAAGAATTTGGTGTTTATTTGTAGTACAGCTGGTCAAGGAGAATTTCCGCAGAATGCTCGTGAATTCTGGAAGCATGTTTCAACCACTACAGATATTTCCTTCACAGAGTCAAGATATGCAGTTTTTGGATTAGGAGATAGTCATTATTGGCCAAGGGAGGAGGACGCGATTTATTATAATAAACCTGGTAAAGATTTAGATGCAAGGTTAGAATTATTAGGAGGGCAAAGTTTAATCCCACTTGGATTAGGAGACGATCAAGATGCTGATGGATATGAAACGGCATATCAAGTTTGGGAACCCGAACTTTGGAAAGCTCTTGGGGTTGAATTGCTTGGTACAATTGTGGAGGAACCAAAAAGAACTGATGATGATATGAAAACAGAATCAAACTTTTTAAGAGGAACCATCTCGGAAGGTTTAGAAGATACTTCAACAGGAGCATTATGTGAACAAGATACAAAACTAACCAAATTTCACGGAATTTACCAACAAGATGATCGTGATTTGAGAGAAGAAAGGAAGGCTCAAGGTTTGGAAAAGGCATTCTCGTTTATGGTACGCGTCAGAGTTCCCGGAGGAGTTTCCACAGTTCGACAATGGTTAGCAATGGATGAAATCGCGGAAAAATATGGAAGTGGATCATTGAAACTAACAACTAGACAAGCTTTTCAGTTACATGGAGTTCTTAAACGAAATTTGAGAGAAACCATACGCGGCATTAATAGAAGTTTATTGGATACATTGGCAGCATGTGGAGACGTCAACAGGAATGTCATGTGTAATCCGAATCCACTCATTTCTGAAGTACATGCGGAAGTACAAGACTTTGCGAAGAAAATAAGTGCACATCTATCACCAAGAACATCCGCATATCATGAAATTTGGCTAGACGATAAGATGGTAGCAGGACAAGCGGTACAAGACTTTGAACCATTATACGGACCTACTTATTTACCACGTAAATTCAAGATCGCGATCGCGATTCCTCCTAATAATGATGTTGATGTATTTGCACATGATCTGGGTTATATTGCCATTTCCGATGATAATGGGAAACTGTTGGGGTATAATGTAACAGTTGGAGGCGGAATGGGAATGACGCATAACAACAAGAAAACGTATCCTAATTTAGGTCAACTACTCGGATTTAGTAGACCGGAACAGGCAATTGAAATTGGAGAGAAAGTAATGTTGGTTCAAAGAGATTTTGGTGATCGTATGAATCGAAAGCATGCGAGACTCAAGTACACGATTGATGACCGTGACTTGGACTGGTTCCGAGACGAAGTTGAATCCCGATTAGGATATAAAATGGATCCACCAAAAGAATATAAATTTGAAAATAACGCGGATAGATATGGATGGACGAAAGGCGTTGACGACAAATGGCATTTTTGTATGTACATAGAAAATGGACGTGTCGTAGATTCCCCAGGGGAAGCTATTAAATCAGGATTAAGAGAGATCGCAAAAGTACATAAAGGAGACTTTCGTTTGACACCAAATCAACATCTTATATTAGGAAACATATCAGAACAAGATAAGCCACAAATTGAAGAATTATTAAAGAAGTATAAATTGGATAATTTGCAATTTACCGGTTTAAGATTGAATTCCATGTCATGTGTAGCCTTACCAACATGTGGATTAGCCATGGCAGAATCCGAAAGATACTTACCAACGCTTGTTAGTAAATTAGAAATCATTATTGAAGAATGTGGATTAAGAGGAGACGCGATTACGATTAGGATGACAGGATGTCCCAATGGATGTGCAAGGCCCTATGTAGCAGAAATTGCTTGCGTAGGTAAGGCATTGGGAACTTACAACCTTTATTTAGGTGGAGGATTCTATGGGCAGAGGTTAAATAAATTATACAAAGAAAGTTTGAAAGAAGAAGATATTTTAGGGGAATTGAAACCCATGTTGAGCAGATATGCTAAAGAAAGAAACGATGGAGAGAGATTTGGTGATTTTGTTATTAGGATGGGATATGTTAAAGCTACAAAGTATGGTAAAGATTTCCACGATTTGTAAGAGAGATCGAAAACAAACAAACAACATTTAAGGCATAGAAAATTTTCGTTTTATATTAATAATAAGTTTTTATTATATTTCTTTATGTATGTATGATATAATTAATTAAATTCAATTACTTTTTTTGTACAATGTTAATTTCTGAGATCAATTCACGGTTTAAATTTGTTTCAAGATATTTGGTGATGTTATGATATATGTTTTAAAAGTAGGTTGAAAATAAATTTTTCTTCCAGTTAAAATTTAAATTTCTCATTGCCATAATTCAACGATCAATCATGATCAAAAAAATTTTTTATTTTATTATTATCCTTGTTCTCAAATGAAATTATTCATTAAAATTTTTTAATTCCTTTAATAAAAGAAACAATCTAAAAGATGAAAGGGTCTAAATGATCATTGCTAAGTGCCAATACTACTTTTATTCGTTGAGTTCTGTCCTGTATTAGGTGTCGATGACTTCTCATCAATGGTAGCATTTTGTTGTTCAATTTTTTGCCACCCTAAATTTATGAAAATATTATACTATGTTTAATAATCATTTTTTTC